TCTTTTCACAATTCATCTTTACACTTTATATGAGGCCAGGATTCAAGGGAGCTGTAGTCGCTTTATGTGTGATTATTAAATTGAGCGAATTAGGCATCAGATTTTCATTAGACAGAAGACGTTACATCCAGGGCTTTAGAAAGAGTTAGAACAAACAAAACAAACGCCTCTTTACGTCTAAGCATCGAGCAGATATTTTTTAATTAAACGAAAACCAATTAATGTGGCAGAGCCTCTTGGTTCTGAAGGTGCCTCGGATTAAACACACTGGAGCATTAAACTATCCAACGCAGATAAATAAGAATTAAACGCACGAGTTCACAAATGTTATGGTCGTTCACTGATTTATGATGATTTTCATATTCACAGGCCTCCACTACTTCCCATCATTTGTAGGGTTTTCTTTTTTTCTTTTTTGACCAGAGAGCCATATCAGGCACATCCACAGAAACACGTCCCACAGGAACCTATTACCATCCTCTACATATGCACGAGTTTGAATAGGCCGTCTATCATCCTCACAGAGGGACGTGCAGCTTTTCCAACAACTTTAACAGCTTGTCATGAAAGGTGCACATGGGGATTTCAATTACGCAGGTCATCAGAGACTGAGTGAACACTATTTGGGTCATGGGCATTTCCCATATTCAATATTGGCACATACATCCAGTCTTTGGGACCGGTTATTAAAAAGCTTTTAGTAAAGCAATGCAACAAAAACCTGGCAGAAAAGTGTATCAAAGGAGTTGTTGGAAATACACAAAGGACAACATGGACAGAACTGGGGAGGATTAGATCGAATGTTTATAATGTAGGTTTGTCTGTGGAGCGCTCTGCCTTCATGGGTTTATACAGCCCTAACAGTGTGGACCCCAGCCCATAATCCTTCTGCAGACAGAAGACAGACTCCAAAGGAGGTCTTGAGAAAATAAATGTATAAATAAGTCTTTGTGAGCTGGTGTTGGTTCATCAAAGAAAACATAAGAACTGAAACGGTTTAGGACGTTACAACAAACCATGTTGGATCAGTGGGTTTGTCTGTGGAGTCCTCCCTCCAGAGGTTTATTTAGGCCTAACAGTGGTGACCCCAGCCCATAATCCTGCTGCAGACACACCTGTAGAGAGGTGTATAAAGAGCCTGGACAGCAGTGGATCCAGCACAGATCATCAGGAGTCTCTCCACAGTAGATCTCCACACAAGGTCCAGATCAATCCTGAAGATGACTCCCACTGTCAGTCTGCTGATGCTGCTGCTGCTGCTCGGCCTCTCTCAGGCTCATCCTCTCCAGGATGAAGGAAATGAAGAAGAAGTCACAGACGACGTTGACATCAGCACCAGGATTCTGACCTCCAACAATGCCACAGATGAGATCCTTCTGGAAGGAGACCTGCTGGCTCCCAGAACCAGAAACGCCATGAGGTGCTGGTCTCAGAGCTGCCAGTGGAGGAAAGGTTCCAATGGTCTGGTGACCATCCCCTTCACTGTGAGCAGTGAGTTCACCAGCTGGGAAAGGCAGAAGATCCAGTACGCCATGAACGTCTACCACAGCAAGACCTGCCTCCGCTTCGTCCCCCGTCAGAGCGAGTACGACTACATCAGCATTGAGAACAGAGCTGGATGTTTCTCTGCTCTGGGCAGAGAGGGAGGAAGACAGGTGCTCTCTCTCAACAAACAGGGCTGCCTCTACCACGGCATCATCCAGCACGAGATCAACCACGCTCTGGGCTTCCAGCACGAGCAGACCAGGAGCGACAGAGACTACTACGTCAGGATCAACTGGGAGAACATCAACCCACAGATGGCCTACAACTTCTACAAGCAGTCCACCAACAACCTGAACACTCCCTACGACTACTCCTCCATCATGCACTATGGAAGAACAGCCTTCTCCATCCAGTACGGCAGAGACAGCATCACCCCCATCCCTGACGCCAACGTCCAGATCGGCCAGAGACGGGGCATGTCCTACTGGGACATCATGAGGATCAACCTTCTCTACGGATGCTAATGA